AGTTGTGGTGTGAAAGAACAGCTTTGCCATCACGAGGCAGTCTCACCCAGAAGCATATTAACCTGTCGTGAAGCATTTGATAGAAAGTGCTGCAACCCTTTTAGACTAGATCTATACAGTTATTCTTTTCATTAAAATTGGTTAAACAAGGTTCTTCCGAAGGGTGTGGATGAGTGTACATGTGTCAGAGGTTCTTATTTGACTGGCTAGTGACGATACTTAGAGCCCTGCATGGATACATCATTTGTATCCACATCTGAACCGCAATCTGCAAAAATGGTCCACGGATATCCGCATCAGAGTCTCGCACCTACCCCCCTATGGATGACTTGAGCTTGCCACACAGGTGGGTGAGAACTGTGCTCTGGGGAGAACTTTGGAGGAGCTGCTAGAAGCTCACACCCCTAATTTCTCTTTCCTATTTTCCCCAATCTCTTTCCCAAAGCACTAAATTGCAGTTCTTTAGCACAGTTTCCCAGCTGAATTACTCAAATAAGGAGGGGTGTGTTCTCTTGATCTCATCATATAAAACAGCCTACAGACCTCCTACACTTCATTATGCAGCAGAATAAGGAGAGGCAGTGAGAGAAACCACCTTTTCTAGACACCTGTGGTGGAAGACTCAGTGGTTGCCAACATCTACTCCCCTTGTGTGCCATTTTCAGAAATTTGTTCACTGGTCCCGATGGAAATGTGCTGAAACTGAATGCTCACATGAGTCCAGTGTCTTTCCTTGGTCTTCCAGGGGATTACCCACTGATCAGAACAGTCCCTGAGTAATGAGACTACTTGAAATACATGTCACTCTAAAGCATGTCTGCAGCAGCTGATCCACCCTGTAATTAAGAGTGCAAAGTGAATATAGCTTATAATGGCATCATAAGATGGCTGTTTTAAATGGCTGTGTGCACATGCTCTTCCTTTCACAGTCAATAATTAGCACTATTGGGGAACATGGCACTTTACAAACCCAAGTGTAAGTGATCATTTCCCTGTGATGCTTGCAATCTAACTTTGAGCCTGTCCGATGAGTCATGTTTCAGACAAAGGAGGAAGGGAGCTGCTCTCATGACACAAATAATCTCCTGACAGACAGGAATTCTCAGTGAGAGATTGCTCAGTACAATGAAATGAGCTGATACTGATGGGCGAAATAGTGTAGAGTTTAACTTAAGGTATTTGTGATAGCCAGAACTGAATGACGTGAGAGAATTAAATAGTGGATAAATTCTACCTCCGTGCTTAAACCTGTTTGGATATCTGCTTGCTTCGTTATACCCTCCCTCTGATCCCCCCAGTGGTGGCTGTAGAAGGAGAGCAGATATGGTCCTCCTCCTAATTGGAAGTGGAGAAATTGCAGCTTGTTGAGCTGTGGTCTCAGTTCATTAATCTGTGAACCTGACAGTTAGCTTATTAAAAGAAAACTGAGCCCATTTTGCTTAGTGCAGCACTCTGAAACCTCAGGTGGCAGAAAGCGCTCGAGCTTACATTTCTTATACCGGTCCTGACTGGAGATGTATTTGAAATGAGTTTGACATGGGTCTTCCGTAATGTTGGTGTTGCACCTTCAGTATAGTGATGGTCACCAACCCTAGGCTCAAATGCCTTCATGGCACTTCAGTTCCAAATTCAATTCACAGTTTGTTCCTGGCAAGAATTTCTGCTTGCCCTGTGAACTTTCAGAATGCTCTGCTGAGCAAAGTGAATGCAGCTCTTTAAAACTACACTCATAACTCCAGGACTAATGCTTCATTCTCTGAAGAAACTGCCTTGAAACATCTAGGAAATCTATCTTTGGTGTTAAGTTTGAAAGTCCAGTCTGATTTTCCTGTGACTAACCCAGGTGAACATGAATTAAACTAAGAGGTATCTTTTGTGCTTGCAGGTGTGGGACTACCCTAGTCTGTTTACATACTTGCAGTAATTCATCAGTGTGGGTGTGGGACTACCCTAGTCTGTTAACTGAATCAAGTTTTGAACTTGCCTTCCTTTCGAAATGGTTCCTAGCTGTGGCTATGGCCTCAGCTCTTCACTGAGGCTGAGTGAATCAAACTTTTCTAACTGAGAAGGTAGATCCTGACCGCATCGAAGCTGGCCTCCAGTGAGTCAGGAGAAAGAAATCTTCATAGAGCCGGAAGAAACATGCCTTATAGGTAAAATCAAATTGACCCAAGTTTGGGCCTAGGATGTCAGGTTCTAAAATATGTTCCAACTAGTTCAGGCAATGAAATGTTGGAAAATGCCTTTATGTTGGTTGATTCCCTTTCCTCCCTTTCCTATTGCTGCCACTACATGAAATTGACTTCTATGCAAAACTCCTCCTGTTCTGTCATTTCACATCAGACTATTTTTGTCCGTTTGGTTTCTGATCATTTATCCCATGACCCCACTATTAGAAGCCATTAAAGAGCATCCTGTCTTTACATAGAATCCTGCATGTCCCTGTTGGACTCACTGGAATACTATTCCGGTTCCCTCTAGGTTATTAAAACGCCTTCTGTTTTTCCCTTCTCTCATTGGGGAGGCCTGATTTTGCATGCTGTCACTTCTTCACCCAAGAAGTAGTTACCAGGGGCCCAGCAGTGCTGCTCTTTATGAGCAATATTGCATCACATAGTAACTACTGAGTGGCAAACACAGCATTCTTTGCCTGTAGCTGCCTGGGGAGCAAAAGATTCGGACTGTTGCTCCTGCATACCTAATCTTTTTCTGTGAGTATGTCTACACTGCAGGTGGATGTGTGGAGGTGGGAGTGATTTGCAGTCCATGTACACATACCTGTGCTAGCTTTAATCTAATTAGCTCACTAAAAATAGCAGTGGGCATGCAGTGCCACAGGTCACACAAGAAAGTGTGGACCCAGGGGGACATGTAAGCTTATGCAGTCCTTGCTGCCATGTCATCACTGCTATTTAGTGAGCTAGCTACATTAAAGCTAGCACAGGTCTACATGAACTGCACATGAACGTGTACATGGACTGTAAATCACACACTGCGGCTGCAGTGCAGACATACCTGATGAACAGTGTCATGGCATGAAGATCCAAGTGTCTGTCAATGAAACCCTAGTGAAATACAACACGTAGGCCTTTCCTATTTTTTTCTCTTTTTCTGCAAATTTGATCTCCCACGTGTTGTTAAAACCTATCAAGTTCTGACATCTGGTATTATGTCTTCTGACTGGTTACATAAATGTTATGATTAAATGTATGATACTCTATTTGGGGTGTGCTGGACTTAGAAGTTGGCTCTCTCCAAAACCCTATAACCTGGGTTATGGGATTCTTGGTTTGAGCTTCCTGTATGTGAATAGCAGATGAGTGAGTTGTCATCGTGGGTCAGTGTTGCTGCCTTTTCTGGAGACATATCGTGTAGCCTAGTTTGAGACTGTATAGCTCAAGGACTTCATGAATCCAAAAAGTTTGCATCAAACTCCAAAAAGTGTTTTTATTTACAATTGCTCAGAAAAATAAGGCCCACAAGTGTGATTTATAGCCCAGTGCATACACAATAGAGTCCCCAGTGTATTAGGGTATGTGGTTTATTCTAGTATTACAAAAAGCCTTCCTGGTCTACACTAGTACATTAGGTCTGCATAACTACGTTGCACAGAGGGGTGAAAAATCCGCAGCACTGAGCAGTGTAGTTAAGCCGATCTAAATCCCCATGGAGACAGTGCCATGTTGACAGAAGAAATCTTCCCTCGGCCTTCCTACTGCCTCTTGGGGAGGTGGATTCTGTAGGCTGATGGGAGAACCCCTCCTGTCGGCATAGGTAGGTCTACGCTACAGTGTATTAAGTAAAAAGAAAAGGAGGACTTGTGGCACCTTAGAGACTAACCAATTTATTCGAGCATAAGCTTTCGTGAGCTACAGCTCACTGCATCGGATGCATGATGCTTATGCTCAAATAAATTGGTTAGTCTCTAAGGTGCCACAAGTACTCCTTTTCTTTTTGTAAATACAGACTAACACGGCTGTTACTCTGAAACCAGTGTATTAAGTGTAGACAAGCCCTTAGTAAGGCTCTCTATTCCCAATACTGGGTACTATCCTGGTGTCCTGTAGAGCTACTTGGGTGCTCCCAAGTCACATATAGCTAGAGGCCAGGGATTCTCAGCCTATAAATTATGACCATGAGGTGGGTCACTAGCAATCTTTAATATGAAGCAAGGCTGCTATAGGTCCCTGCTGGCTTTTGTGGATTGTGAGTTCCCCCTTCCTAGTGAGTTCCAGCAAAATTGCGAACTCCAAGCAAGCAAAAAAGGTGACTGGCATATCTTGATGTTTTGTGTTCAAATCGCTCTTCACAACTTGCCTCATAAGGAGGCTTTTTTGATACAGAACTATGTTTCGTAAATATATCCTCTCCTGCTGCGTTCTCCTGGGAATTCTAGTAAACTAGGTGGAGTGCTAGGTTGCATTGTGTTGCTTTCCTGAGTTTTTGTTACTCTTGGCCCGGTACTGTTAGCTTGTTTTGGGGGTGGGGAGTGGAAATCAGACTGGCTTAGTTCTATGGTATACAACCGTTGAGCTGGGCTGAGAACTTCAGTAGGTTGTCTAAATACAGTCATGGAAGTTTATAGTACAGAAGGTATTTTATTCATGTAACTACTTGTGTCCGGAGCAGTTGCTTCCAGCTGAGATCAAGAGACTGCAGTAAAGCTTTTTGTTTGTGCTCCTAGGGCTAAATTATAGCACTGTACAAATATTAACTAAGTCACAGTTACACTTGAGGGATTTTTAACACATCACAGTATGTCTTTAGCCTGTTAGCACTGAAAACTTCACTTGGCTTCACTGAAAACTTCCCTACTCCTGTTCGGTACTGACTGGTTATGTGAAGGCATGGAGTCTTGCTATCTCCTCTGCATGAATTTGCATCACTCACTGCTTAGCACTTTCCCGATATCCACAGGTGGGTTGGCAGGGACTGACTGGGTGGGAAAGGAGGGACCTCACTGGAACAGACCCGTGACTTTGCTTTTTCTTTCTGTGTAGCTGAGGAAGTGGATCATCCGCCATCTGACATGGGGATGGGGGCTGATGTTCTGGAATCTGGAGACACCACGCCCCCCACCAAGAGGAAAAGCAAGTTCTCAGGCTTTGGCAAGATCTTCAAACCTTGGAAGTGGAGGAAAAAGAAAAGCAGTGACAAATTCAAGGAGACTTCAGAAGGTAAAGCATCGGGCTTGGTGCTGGTCTTGAACTTTGGTTTAAACACTTTTTCCCACTGGGGAAGCTCATGCCAAGTTGTTTCATCCTTTGCTATTAGCCATCAGAGCAGTAGCAGCTATGGGTGAGCTGCAGAGGCTGGCTGAAGCCTTGTGTCCAAGTGCTGGTATGACTGGGATCAAAGCTTAATTCTTTGCCAGTGATGGAACAACAAATTCACTGATCAGAGGCCTCAGCTACTTGGCTCCTTAAAACCACCGCTTAAAGACCTTTTAACTGTAGAAAACAATATTCTGAAGAGTGTTGAAGATATAAGATTCCTTTGTTGAAAGGAACTTCTCCAACGAGGCTTAGGCTGGAGGAATGACTGTTCACTGCTCTAGCACTATATTCTGGTGTGTGAATACAGGCCCCATATAGGTTACTTTTTAACCCCCTCCCTCTTCTTCCTTCATGCAAAATGCAGCAACTTGAACCATTTTTGTTTCATCCACAGAGCCAATACATTTAAAAACAATTCTTTTGAAACCCTCCCCTTGCCCTGTTTTCTGAGTGCTTTTTCTCAATTTAATATCAGTTTTAGAACGAAAGATTTCTATGCGAAAGCCAAGAGAGGAGCTGGTTAAAAGAGGGGTTCTGTTGGAAGACCCTGAGCAGGGTGAGTTTGGAAATGAACCTGTCATCCGCCTATCTGTGTTCTGTGTAGCTGGTCTGCTGCTGACATAATCCCATCCTTGTTATTGTACCTTTAAAAAATAAAATAAGTTAAAGGCTGTTTGCTAAACATGACCTCCCATCCCTTGTCTGTCCTTTGCACACGCTCCCTGTCTGGCTCCTGCACCTAGCTAGGAAAGCAGTGTAAGGAGGAAGAAATTCCTGAGATAAGCATTCCGTGTTCTTATGCATCTTCCTGTCTGCTGCTGGCAAGGAAATTCTGTGTCACTTCCTGTCGAGTTTGTCATATTTGTATCTCTGCCTGGCCTTTGGTATCATCCCTCTATGTTCCTCTCCTTCACATTCATGCTCACTGTAATCTCCAGGTTGTTCTGATCATGTTTCAGTTTATATTCTAGCCCCAGTGAAAAATAGGCTATCTATAATGTTGAATTTGATTTGTTTCTAGGGCTGCAAGGCCAAATGAAAGGAAACAAAAATTCAGTACGGCTTTTGAGTTGCTTGTGTAGAGGCATTCCATCAAGGAGCTGATAGATGTCTTTTACATGCCTCTGAGACAGGCCTGTAATGTGTGCATTCATTTCTGGGCTCCTCCTTATCAGAAAATTGTAGCCAAACTGTAGGAAAAGCAGCAAAAATGATTAAAACATTAGCGAAATGGGGTGAAATATGACTGAAGTAGTCCATGAGTATTTGAACCTTGTAAACACCAAGTTAAGGGAGGAATTTTGTGTGTTCAAAGGTGTGTAATGAGAGGTCATGGGATGAAACTGAGGAAGCGAAAACATAGGCTTGATATAAATTTCCTGAGAGAGAGATGGCAGATGGGGAGTGTTCTGAGGTGTAACAAGGGGGTGGCATGCAGGAGTGTTGGTAAGATATAGAATTTTGTGTTTTGGCAGCAGTCACATGACCTGGGTTAGGAAGTGGAGGAGACAGTTACAATAAGATTAAACAAAGTGCCAGAAATAAAGTGTGGGACCAGGCGAGCACTGTCAGGTGGATAGGTTTTTAAATTACAGAAATTAGAGATGGACTCTTTAATATTTTTGTTGCAAGTCAGTGGAAGGTTTCTACAATTGATCGCACTTTTAAATCCTGCTCTCAGATAATCAGTGTATTTTCTGAAAGGTAAGTGTTCTGGAGAGAAGAGCGTTTTTATCCACTTGCATGCACTCTGCTGGCTCCTGGGTTCTGACAGTCAGGTCTTAGTGGCTCATTTTAATAAACTTCTTTGCTGTCCTTTATTCAGTTCTACGCAGCTGCCTTGTGTCTAGTATTCACCTTACAAATTGCAAACAGTGCAGGCAAAACTCTAAATTGTAACATAAATAAAGCAGAGCAGCTGGCCAGGGTAGCGAAGATGTGTTCAGATGGGATGTGAAGATAGGTGGAGTTGTGGCAGATACAGGAGGGCTGTGTGGGGAAGAGGTGTAGAGAAAGTGGTTTATCCACAGTGGGGACATAGGGAGTGAGTGCCAGATGAGCAAGGGCAGCAAACAAAGTCCTTGAGGCAGGCTGGCCCAAGCTCATGGAGGGCTTTAAAAGCAAAGACGACCGTTTTGAATTAGATTATGGAAAGCCTCTGGAATTGAAATGGCTGGGGGTGAGGGAATGAGAAAGCCAGCAGCAGCATTCTGTAAATGCCGGAGCCTGGAGAATATGGGAAGGCATTAGGAGAGAGTTGGAATAGCTGAGGAGGGGCAGGGGGGTGTAATATCTAGGGAACTGTCTGAGGGAGATGATAGGCAGATTGACAGATTTTAGAGCAGTGTTTCCCTGCGTGAGGGAACTCGTATGGAGGGAATGAAGGACTAGTCAGATGGCCCTCTGGATCGTCCTCCAGAGTCCTGGCTTCAGTTTTAAAATTAAAGTCTCATGTTTGCGAAGAAAACAATAAAAACACTAAGGCCATGTCTATGCTACTGGTGCAGCAGTGGCACAGCTATGCTGCTGTCGTGCCATACTGCAGACCATTCCTACAAAGACGGAAAAGGTTTCTCCATCAGCATAGGTAATCCACCTCTGAGCAGCGGTGGCTAGGTTGACGGAAGAATTCTTCCATTGATTTAGCCATGCCTACGCTGGGGGTTAGGTTGTCTTAACTACAGTGCTCAGGGGTGTGAAGGACCGTAGCTATGTCAACCTAACTTTTAAGTGTAGACCAAGCTTAAGCAAATTTAACGAACACAGCAACATCTGCCTGAGTTCTCAGAGTGCTTGAAACAATAGCTGAGAGTGGAAAAAATGTGTCCCATCAAGGTGACAACTAAGGCTATGTCTACACTACAACTTATGTCAGCAAAATTTATGTCACTCAGGTGTGAATAAATCACCCCCTGGAGTGACATAAATTCCACCTACACAAGCGATTGTGTGCACAGCGCTATGTCAGTGGGGAGAGCTTCTGTAATACTATATGGCAGGGCTGAAGGGGTGTGTGGCTGGCTTTGTTTTCCTGAAGAAATGCTCAACTTTCAGAGTTGAGAGAACACTGCTTTAGGAGACATGGTAAGAGGTAGTAAGTTTTAAGGTTGACGAAGGGTTGGAAACACGTGCTGGACCTCAATCAAAAAGGAAGGTAGGCGAGATGGGACTTTGTTTAAGGAAACTCTTCTTCCCCATTGTTCAAGTGTTTCGGGCTGCTCATCATTCTCCAGGGCAAATGCTGCAGGAACGCCATGTACAAACCAATATGGAAGGTATCAGTGCCCTGGGAACACTGACTGAATCTTGTCGTCAGAACAAATCTATTGTACATACAGTGGAAACCTGGCCAGCATTTTGAGTTCTGTAACGTAGCAGAGTACAGGGGTTTATTAGAAAGCCCTTAAAGTAAGCTGACATAGAAGGCTGCCCAGAGCTTGATTGCAACTAGTCCTGGACTGCTGATCATGGGATAGTGCTGGCCTTGAAGGCCATCCTATCTTTGAATCTTGTAAATATATTCCTTTGTAAATGAGTCCATTGTGTAGGAGACTGATGGGGGAATAAACAGATTGTTGGAATAAATGATACTACACACTAGAGTTACAGGAGATTAGGCCCTATACTGTCTTTTAGCACGTTGTTGAAATCAAGAGCTCCAAACTAACTTGGTGCTGATGTTACCATGTGCAATTTTATGCAGAAAGTAATTCTAGGACCAGATATTCCAGAAGTAAAAGGAGTGTTGTGGATACTTGCAGATTTTTAAATACAGTCATTAGCAATCTATTGCCAGTTCACTGCCTATTGATAGGTGTGTACCTTCTCAGACTTCAGATCATAGAATCATAGGACTGGAAGGGACCTTGAGAGGTCATCTAGTCCAGTCCCCTGCTCTCATGGCAGGACTAAGTATTCAGTATCCTTTGCCTTTTCTGATGGTTTTCTGTTCATTCCCCACCCCCTCACAGATGGAGAGGAACCAGACAAACTCAGCCATACTGCATTGAAGAATGGGCATACAGTCCCCATTGGTGGTTCTGGGGTGTCAAACTTGGAGGAAGAAGTTGAGAAGAAGTCAAGTCTTAGAAAGTCTATTCCAGTTGAGGAACCAAATAAAAGACTAGGTAGGAAATCAGGCTTGCTTCAGTTTCTCACAAAGAAATATCCGTTTTGAAGTCTCTCTTCTCTTGGGTCCCCTCATTCACCAATCTCTCTGAGCACTTGTTTTGTGTTTCACTTTGCAGGCTCATCCAGTAGCAATCCCAGTTCAGAAATGGAGCCTCCTCATGAGCCGCAAGCACCCAAACAGCCTTTGCTTCCTCCGAAAAGACCCTTGTCCTCTTCTCAGGAGGCAAGTGATGTGCAGGTGAGGGATCCCGCCCCTGCCAGCCGCACCACAAGGACTGCATCCTCCTCTACTGTTACTGCCGCCACCAGCATATCCAAGACGGTCAGTTCCACAGTCGCCCCTTGCCCAGCCCCCAGGACTGTGCCCCCTGCTCTTGCCAGCACTAACACTACTGCTGCCACAAGTACAACCAGCGTGGTGCCCGCCAAACAGCCCCCCATCCCGCCCCCGAAGCCTGTGAACAGAAATAGCAACCCTTTAATAGGTAAGTGTCGTCGTCTTTGCAACTGGCTGTCAGTCAGACCTAAGATGCTCTTTTGTTCTTTGAGATTGCAAACTCTGTTTGGAAGGGAAGATTTGTGTTGCTGTGTTCATACAGTATCATGTCTCGAATGTCTGTGAGCTGATCGAGGATCTTCAAAGCTTGACCACTGGACAGGCGTGGAAACTGGATGAGCTCTGTTGATGCTGGTTCCATCAGCACAGGGCAAACATTAATTACTTTCAAGAGGCACTACAAATTGAACGATCTGCCTAGCACAGATGTATCCAGCAGCTGATCAAGGGAGGCAGTCTCTAGTTTTTCTGTTAAGGGTAGTGATTGAGATTAAAAATCACTATTGTTATAAAGTGTCTTTAATCTTCCACCAATGCGGGAATTTATCAGCTGTGCTGGACTGGAAGGCTTGGGATTAGTGGGTGTTCGCAAAAAGAAAAGGAGTACTTGTGGCACCTTAGAGACTAACCAATTTATTTGAGCATAAGCTTTCGTGAGCTACAGCTCACTTCATCGGATGCATACTGTGGAAAGTGTAGAAGATCTTTTTATACACACAAAGCATGAAAAAATACCTCCCCCCACCTCACTCTCCTGCTGGTAATAGCTTATTTAAAGTGACCACTCTCCTTACAATGTGTATGATAATCAAGGTGGGCCATTTCCAGCACAAATCCAGGGTTTAACAAGAACATTGGGGGGGAGGGGGGGGGAGAGTAGGCAAAAACAAGGGGAAATAGGTTACCTTGCATAATGACTTAGCCACTCCCAGTCTCTATTCAAGCCTAAATTAATTGTATCCAATTTGCAAATGAATTCCAATTCAACAGTCTCTCACTGGAGTCTGGATTTGAAGTTTTTTTGTTGGAGAATTGCGACTCTTAGGTCTGAAATTGAGTGACCAGGGAGGTTGAAGTGTTCTCCAACTGGTTTATGAATGTTATAATTCTTGACATCTGATTTGTGTCCATTTATTCTTTTACGTAGAGACTGTCCAGTTTGACCAATGTACATGGCAGAGGGGCGTTGCTGGCACACGGTGGCATATATCACATTGGTGGATGTGCAGGTGAACGAGCCTCTGATAGTGTGGCTGATGTTATTAGGCCCTGTGATGGTGTCTCCTGAATAGATATGTGGGCACAGTTGGCAATGGGCTTTGTTGCAAGGATAGGTTCCTGGGTTAGTGGTTCTGTTGTGTGGTATGTGGTTGCTGGTGAGTATTTGCTTCAGGTTGGGGGGCTGTCTGTAGGCAAGGACTGGCCTGTCTCCCAAGATTTGTGAGTGTGTTGGGTCATCCTTCAGGATAGGTTGTAGATCCTTAATAATGCGTTGGAGGGGTTTTAGTTGGGGGCTGAAGGTGACGGCTAGTGGCGTTCTGTTATTTTCTTTGTTAGGCCTGTCCTGTAGTAGTTAGGCCTAACAAAGAAAATAACAGAATGCCACTAGCCGTCACCTTCAGCCCCCAACTAAGTCATTATGCAAGGTAACCTATTTCCCCTTGTTTTTCCTACTCCCCCCCCCCCCCCCCCCCCACGATGTTCTTGTTAAACCCTGGATTTGTGCTGGAAATGGCCCACCTTGATTATCATACACATTGTAAGGAGAGTGGTCACTTTAGATAAGCTATTACCAGCAGGAGAGTGAGGTGGGGGAGGTATTTTTTCATGCTTTGTGTGTATAAAAAGATCTTCTACACTTTCCACAGTATGCATCCGATGAAGTGAGCTGTAGCTCACGAAAGCTTATGCTCAAATAAATTGGTTAGTCTCTAAGGTGCCACAAGTCCTCCTTTTCTTTTTGCGAATACAGACTAACACGGCTGTTACTCTGAAACCTGTCATTAGTGGGTGTTAGAAGGCTTTCACCTCTAAATCACCAGTTTATATGGTCAGTGGAAGTTGATGGTTACAGCTGTTTGGTGTCCTAATGAACTGGTAAGTCCCAGTGGGAAATATCCACATGACAAACTACTGTGGTATTTGGCATGGATCAGTGCCCTTGCTGCCAGTTGCAGCAGCAAGGCAAAGGACTCGGAGTGGACCATGGAGTCTGAACTGCCCCCTTGCTTCTTGAGGTGCTTCCTCAAAGTGCATTGGCAAGGCAGGGATGTTGGGGAAGCATGCCCCCCTTGCTGCTATGGATAAACTGAGAAATTCAGGCTGCAGGGCTGCCCATCTGGCAAATCGTATCGCACTAAAACGTAAATTAAGAGCTGATTCTTCCCAGTGCTGGTTAAGTAAAGAATTAAATGCATCTGTTTCCAAACCTGTTTTAACAGAACATGTTGGGGGGAGTTTCTTGTCATGCAGTTAGCCCAATATTACGTATTGGTCTCTTAGATGCCTTGGTTAAATCTTGAGTAAGTCACAAGTGAAATGTGTTAAGTGGACTGAATGAAGCAGTTAAAGGACAACGCACTGCACAGCTAGTCTTTGGACAGGAGTAGCAGGGAGTGCCACAGATCAGGACTGAGATGTATGGGCAGAGCTGTGAAATGAATCCATCCATAGTGGTGGCTGGGCTTGTGCAGATCTTGTTTGGGAGGCATTGGCAGAGCTGTGTCGAGAAAGCCGGCGCAGGACCTGCTTGCAGTAGGCTTAGATCAGTGTTTTCGTTTCCACAAGCAAATAATGCTACTTCTCCAGACTAAAAAATAAATATGAACCAAATAATTTAGTTTTTCTGCTCTGGGATGCGCTCTGCTCTAGCAGGTTTTACAGTTGAACTTTGCATGGTATTAAACTGCTGTTTGCCAGATAATAAAACTAGTCTGACCATTCCTGTTGTGCACGCAAGGAATACCTTCTTTGCTTGCTTAAGCTGCTTGCACACAACATGGGTGGTATTTGAAATGCATCAGCATTAATTGCAGGTAGTGCTGAGAAAAAAATATAATGAAAGACAGCAAAGTGTCATACTGCTGCTATCTCCAGGGTAGGGCCTTAGACACCTATGGCAGAGGGTGTGGAGGGAGTGAGGAGTTACATGTAAGTAGAGCTGAAGAGCTCTGCACCTGTTTTGCTTGCTTTGCCTGTTGAGAATCCCCATTCAAACAGGGACCGATTTCACAATTGTGCTCTGTACAGACCTACATTTAAATACTCAACACAATGCTGTTTCTGATACAAAAGTATTGAAAGCAAGATTGGAGTTGGTCTTTTTGCAGTATCAAACCTGCATAGTTTCACTAACGAGTGAAATTGAAGGGACGTGTATTTGGATGGTGTAAACACCAAGGAGGGGAAGAAAATATTTAACAGATAGTAAAGGTATAACTAGGAACAATGGATTTGAATTAGGCAAAGGAATATACAGCCTGAATGTCTAGAAGTGTTACCCAATGGTGAGATTGGGGAATAGGCTCCCAAAGGAAGTGGTGAAAGCCCCATTGACTGACAGAATAAAAATTAGGTAACAGAGCACAAAATGGAAGGGAACAGCCCCGCACTGGAAAAAAGTGACCATGGCTAACATAACCCGTCTCTTTCATCTCTGCTTCCTCATTCCGTACGTTAGGCTCCTATGCTGCTGGCCTCTTAAATGAGACTTCATGGCAGGATAGGCTCAGGAAATGCTAACTTTCACATAACTTAACTTGTACACAACAGTAGTTCACAGTGTATGCATGGATTCTGTCAAGGCCATGCCAGGTACAGGGGCAGCTGTTGTTCACACCAAAGTGGCTAGTTTAGCCTTTACTAGAGTAATATGTTGGCTTCTGTGTTGGGTCAGAGGAGTTTGTACTGTCCTGGGTTCAGTGAAACTAATTTTTAGCCCAGTGAGAAAGACCCCTTTGCCTTACCCATGACCGGAGACAGATTGGATTCACAGGACACTTGCAGTAGGGCCTAGTCCTGTGCGTGCTCTGCTTTTCTAACGCCCGTTTATGGGAGGTGCTGGCTACTTGGCTCCTCTCAGAATCAGGCTCTTAGTTCCCAAACATGACCTCTTAGGGCTGATCCTATCTGGCTTTGAGTAGCACTGAAAGCAGAAGCCAGTGGGAGCTGAGGACACTCAGCACTAGACAGGATCCTGGCCTTAATCTGTAAGGGAAAAGTCTGTGTATTCGAAACATCTGAAAAATGCGTCCACCTCTGTATTACTGCAGTCTTCCCAGAAAGCACAATCTCCTCATCTCTTGCTGCCATTTGTGGTTCTGCAGCACCACTGGACTAGGAGCTCTTGTTTCAGATCTGGGGAATGTGTTGATACAGATGTGATTGTGGTGGTGAAAACAAGCAGACATGGAAGAAAACTGACGTTTTCCAAGCAGTTTGGTAGGAGGAAAATTGACCTTTCAACCCTTAGAAGCTGCTACTGCATAAATATTAAAGGCCAAAAAGCCACTGCTGAAGAGCCCAGTGCATGATTTTTTTAATCCCACTCCCACCTACTCCCACTATTATGGCAGTGGGTCCCAAGGGACCCACGGGATACCAGTCCCACTGCAGGGCTCTGCACTAGTCCCCTGCAGGGCTCTGCACTGCAGCAAGAGTCCAATGTCCTTTTTAAACACTGGGTGTTCTCCTGTAGGACGGAAGTGATATACCAAGTGTGAGGTCTCCAATTTTGGGAGCCACTACTGAAGACTATATTTTCTGGATGGGATACATTACATTACATTTGGGCCCCAGCCCTCTTCCCCTAGTCACATTGTTCTCATCATTCTCTCCTGGATCAGCATCAAACAGCACAGACCCCTGCGTTAAATTCAGGCCTGCCCCACAAATCGGGAAGGGACTTTCCAAGCTGTAGATTTTATGGGTCCTATAAACCCCTCTGGACCCATGATGATTTATGATGTCAGCTCTGCCTTAGATACTAGTGACCACAGTAGAACCATAGATGAGGGGTAAGCTGGTAACAGGATTTATGGTGACCCAGCGTTTAGTCCACGTAGAATAGGGAAAGCACTTTCATGTTGGAGAGGAGTGGCTAGCAGTAATGTTCTCTGTGGCTAGCTCTGACAGCTAAACTGAGTGTGAGCATGTTAGCGTTTCAGTCCCACCGACTTTTGTCTTCAAATAGCAATACTCTAAAAGTGTTGTATGAAAGGAAAAGCTTTAAGTCCAGGGTTTTGTTGGGGATGTTATATCAAATTCCATTTTTGGGTGATGGCTGTAAATGTAGGCACAAAGTGCCCTGGTTGCATTCATTCCTTTGCTAAGTGAGCAGCATACTGATCCGCATGTCCTGCACCTGCCCAAGGAATGCTGCCGTTCCTGGAGCTGGCCCTCCTGTTGCACTCTCGCCAAGCCAACCTTCCATGCAAAGCAGCAAGACAAGCAGGAGCTCTTCCAGCCTGCTCACTCTTGGCTGCTGTCCTGACTTCGTACCTTAGTAGCTAGAAGAGCAAGTGAGAAGCTTTGCCACCCAGTTACAGGGTGAATTTGATTTAAATCACTAGTCAGGAAGACTCGATTTAATCATGGTTTTCTCCATAAAAGTGCATTCTTGTTGGTGGTTATAACCTTAATACATATTCTTCACAACTCAGAGATAGATGTAGGTTTCATCTTTAGAAGGTACACACTATACATTTTTAAAGTGATTTATTTTGAAAACTTTTCAGATTAGTTTTACATCTATATCAGAAAATGAATTATTGTTTGGTTATTTCATTTACCAGAGGTAATTGAAACAGATATTTATGAAGTCATTGGGAGGTGAACTATCTCCAATTCAACAGATTAATCATTACTATTTGGAGGATTTTCTTGCCATACTGTATTAGGAAGAGAACATCACTAGACAAACATTTAAATTGTTTTAGTTAACTAAAACAACAGTGTTAAGTATTCTGGATTTTTTTCTTCAACAGCAAACATATAATAGTTTAACAAAAAAGCATATGTCCTCGCTTCTCACATTTATCTCCAGACTTCTTGTCCAGATCTATTCCGCCCCCAACAATCTTCTATTCGTTGAACTTTTTAAAACTTTGCACTTTTAGAGAGGTAAGAAATTGACTCTGTGTACACAAATTTGCTGAGGGACAATAAAGAGTTGAGGTCTGTTGTTTCTCACCTCTTTATATTTATTTATTTAAAAAAACCTTTTTGCTGTTAACAAGCATGTTACCTTTGGAGACACAAATTCTCAGTTTGAGAACTGCAAAACTAAGCATCTCTGATGGTATCTTCTAGACTGAGTACTGAGTCCCATTGGGTAGGTAGAAAGATTAACCTAAATAATTTCTACAGAAGCCCCTGGAGCTCCATAAGATTGGGTCCCTAATCCATGAACTATTGGAACACATTTACAAAACTTTTCTTAAACATTACATGAATGTATTGTCTCATACTATAGAATTAGAATTTATAATCCCTGTTCCATGATGAAATATCTTTGAGCTATAATGTATCTTAATTAAAACTATCTTTAGATAGGTGTGTTTTCCTCAAAAAGCATTTTATAAAAAAAAAAAAAATTAAATAAAAAAATCTGATTTTAAAATTTTTTTTTAAAAAAATCATTGATTTTTATCCACCCTGCCCAGTTACCTCTGGCATCTGGCTTTAGGAAGCAAGCAGCTGAGACTGCAGGAGGTCATATGAACTGATCAAGGTCTCAGTGGGTCAGAATCTGTCTGCTTCTAACCACTGGATCCTGTAGCCTCCTGAGTGCTTTCAGTGCTCAGCCAGTGGATGAGTGAGGGTCCAGCACTATGGCAAAGCCCTAATAAAATGTGGGATCTCTCTTCTTTTCCAGCTGAACTGTCTCAAGCAGTGAACAGTAGTATGGGCTTAACAAAGCCTTCCCCGCCCCTACCACCCAAGAGAGGCATTCCATCTAACATGGCACCCTCACTGGAGTCAACTGCTGCCTCGAAACCACCAAGTGATAGGGTAGTGACAGCTACTCGTCCCGCATCGATACCAGTGCATATCACCGTGTCTCACCCGCCACCGTCGCCTTCTCCGCCATTGCCCAGCCACATACCTCCCGAGCCCCCGCGCACGCCCCTGCCTGCCTCCAGCCCTGTGACGGAACCCCAGTTCTCCCTGGAACTGCCCAAGGAGACCCCTGCACAGGAAGATCTCAGGTCACTGGAAGTGCCCAAGTGGGCGGCAGAGCAGGGGTTCGGAGAACCTCACTTGCCAATGCGGCTGCTCCAAATCCCACTGCACATCCGGATCCAGCAGGCGCTGACGAGCCCCCTGCCAGTTACCCCACCTGCAGAGGGGTCGCACAGGGCTCACTCGCTGCTCTTCGAAAGTGACAGCCCCTACGAGGACAACAGCACCCTGGGCCGGGCCAGGTCGCTGCCGGTCACCATCGAGATGCTGAAAGTGTGAGTGCAGATTCTGTGCATGCAGGAGCACTGACGAGTAGGGGGATAGCCGGGCACATAGCAGCCTGGCACTGTGGTGTGGGAACGCTGTGCTCCATGTCCTAGAGCAAGACCTATGATTGTGGAAAGTGCCACGGGAATTGAGTGTTTGGAGAAATGATGATCACCTTGGTACGCTAGGCAGGAAAAGCAAAAACAGTTCAGAGGAATCTAGGTATTTAATTGCACTGACGAGACAAAGTGAGATCCTCAGTTTCTTCATTCAGCCATGACCTGCTTCTGATGACCTAGAGCAGGGGTGGGCAAACTACGGCCCATGGGCTGGATCTGGCCCCTCAGGGCTTTGGATCCGGCCCATGGGATTGCCACCCCCATGGCATGGCCGGCACCATGTCCCTGCGGCCCGGGATGGGGGTCAGGGGCAGAAGGCTCCCGTGCTTCCTTCACCTTTGGGTTCCACACCCGAAGCTCCCATTGACCGCGGTTCCCTGTTCCCGGCCGATGGGAGCTTCGGGTGTGGAACCCATAGGTGAGGGCAGTGCGCGGAGCCCTCTGCCCCTCTCCTAGGGGCAGCAGAGACATGGTGCCGGCCGCTTTCAGGAGTGGCGCGGGGCCAAGGCAGGCAGGGAGCCTGTCTCAGCCCCGCTGCACACTGCTGCCACCCCAGAGCCACACCAGGTAAGCGGTGCTGGGCTGGAGCCCGCAGCCCGAATCCCTCCTGCACCTCACACCCCAACCTCCTGCCCTGAGTGCCCTCCTGCACCCCAACCCCCTGCCCCAGCCCTACATTCATGGCCCTGAATGCAATTTCCACACCCAGATGTGTCCCTCGGGCCAAAAAGTTTGCCCACCCCTGGCCTAGAGAGACTGCTTGGAATTTGATGTGGTCATTCCCATCTCCCCACCCCCCCACACACACTCTGCTTGGGTTTGGCAGCAGGTTTGAACCCTGAAACCCCAAATGGGGTTGGCTGGTGATAGAGGGTGACGGGGTTAGCCCCAAGTGCCTCAGACATCTCATGCATCTCCTTGAATTGGTGCTTGCTGAGCCCGGAGTCCTTCCGACTCTTCAGGAAGGAGGGATGAGGCAGGGATTGTAGCACGGGCCTTTGAGCAGAGCTCCTTCAACCTGCCACTGTTTTGGACTTGCCACAAAGCACCGAAGGAAGCTTCTTGACTTGGGCTCTTTAACCCCCTAACTCCCGTAAATTCATTTGAAAATCCCACCCGCAATCTCTGTCTCAGTTGCTGCAATTCATGAATGTTTAAAGCACGTTGACATCCCTGGAGGGAAGGTGCCACAGGAGGGTAAGGAAATCTAAGTACTCTTGCTCGTAGTTCAGCAGGGCTTCCATGAAAGAGTGTGGGGGTAAAAGGGGGGCAGCAGCCGCAGGCAAACAGCCACTGACTAGGAAGGGGTTACAGCGCTTGTGACCTGCCTTCCATAGAGAGGCTTCAGTTTAAATTGTCGCTGGGGCTGGGGATGGAACAAATCCCTGACCTCAAAGTGAATCATTGTCATTTTTAAAATCAATAATAATTGTGCGCGTCTTGTTAGTCCAGATGATGATGAAGAGGAGGAGGAAGCAGACCAGGAGGGCGAACAGAGTTCAGGTCCTCACGTTTACATTGGAGATGCACCATCTGTCACAATCATTCCTAGGCTAATGCCACAGCCCCTGCAGGAGGAAGAGGAGGGGACGAGTGATTCGGACTCGGAGGGACCCATCCTGTATAAGGATGAGGAAGATGAAGAGGATGATGAAAGCCATAACAGTAAGGTTTCACCGTTGGGAGGCCAGCTTTACTCCTACACACACAACTGCACTTAGCCACGTCAAGAGCCACACCAAAAGTCTGGTCCGTACAGTGTCCCAAAGTGTTAGCCTCTTTGCTTCCTCGCAGGCTACTTATCCACAATGTGGGAAGTAATGCACCCTGGAAAACATAATCCCAACTGTCCATACAAAATGATGAGGACTGTTACCACTCAAAGAGTTCTTGGAGTCATCGTGACTTTTCTGAAAACATCCACTCAATGTGCAGCGGCAGTCAAAAAAGCTAACAATGTCAGGAACCATTAAGAAAGGGATAGATAACAAGACAGAAAATACCATAATCCCACTAATTTATGGTATGCCCACACCTTGAGTACTGTGTGCAGTTCTGGTTGCCCCTTCTCAAAAAAGATACAATTTGGAATTGGAAAAGGTACAGAGAAAGGCAACAAAAATGATTTAAGGGAGTGGAACAGCTTCTATATGACAAGAGATTGGTGCAGGCCACTTTAGAAAAGAGACAACTAAGCCAGGGGAGGGGGAAATGATAGAGGTCTATAAAATCACGAATGGTGTGGAGAAAGTGAATAGGGAAGTGTTGTTTAGCCCTTCACTTAACACAAGAACCAGGGGTCACCCAATGAAATTAATAGGCAGCAGGTATAAAACAAACATAAAGAAGCACCTCTTCACACAACACACAGTCAACCTGTGGAACTTGTTGCCAGTGGATATTCTGAAGGCCAAAAGTATAACTGGGTTTAAAAAAAAAAAAAAAGTTAGATATGTTCATGGAAGATCAGTCCATCAATGGCTATTAACCAAGATGGTCAGAGATGCAACACCATGCTCTGGGTGTCCCTAAGCCTCTGACTGCCAGAAGCTGGGACTGGACAACAAAGGATGTACCACTTGATAATTGCCCTGTTCTGTTCATTCCCTATGAAGCATCTGGCACCAGCCACTGTCAGAACACAGGATACTGGGCTAGATGGACCATTGGTCTGACCCAGTATGGCCGTTCTTGTGTTATGTTCCCACCTGCCTACACTCCCTCAAATACCCCAACTGCCAACCAGCCCATGTACATCCCTGCCTGATGGGGAAAATTCCAGCAGGGGATGCCACCAAAATAGTAACCACACATCCTTCCAGCTCCCTCTCTCTAGACAGGATGGTGTTACTCCTTTTACCATGCTGCAGGCTGTACTGTAGCTGCATGACCTTAGTGACATTCAGCTCCTGCCAACAGAGGAGCTGTGGTACTTGACCATTGTGTGTGTGACGCCGGGCTGGCCTGTGGATCCAGCTGCTTTTTTACAGCGTGGGAGCACTCCTGTCTTTACTCATGCAAGGATCCCTTCTTCCCTTTCCCACAGGCGCTCTAGCTAACAAGGTGAAGAGGAAAGATACATTGGCCATGAAACTGGGCAACATGGCCACGCAGCAGGAGCTGGAGGAAAAGAATGCTTTCCCTCGGAAGAGCAAGGAGGAGTGGAATGAAATTCGGCAACAGATTGGGACAGCATTGATCAGGTACAAAATGCAGAGGAAAAGAAAAATCCTCTGTCTTCGGCATAACTAAGGGTGAGCCAAGAAATCTGCTTGCCTGAAATGTAGCAACAAGGAGGCTTTTTCTCTGCTGCGTTGGGGCTGGGGTGCTAGGCTTGCGTGTCATTTCCCTCTGAAGTAATGTAAAGACAAGAAGCTTACATTTCATGCAGGACAGTTTCCACTGTTCGGGAGGGAAGCCATTTGAGCTGGAAGAGCCAACTCTTCCTACCCCCATAGCCTGTCAGACTTCTCATTTCCTGGGTTGAAGTGTGCTGTTAAAAACAAAGTTCGAGGAGCCACATTGAGCAGTGAAGTGAGCAACTTGACAGATGTAATTTGGAAAACAGGTGCAAGTGGCAAGATCGTCTAGCTCGCTGTGAGTAGGCATTCTGTGGGACCCTGGGTGACGCTGGTACTGCACTTCCTGAAGTTAGAGGGTGCAGCTCCCTTACCCAAGGGCTGAATCTGGCCTGGGGAGGAGTGGGAATTCTGTGGGTGTAAACTAAAGCAGGGCTGCAAAGTGTCTTGTCCACAGCTGAGTTGGATTCCCTCGTGTCCAGTTGGGATTCCACTGCAATGATGATTCTGGGCTGCTTCAGCCCTTGCTGTGCTGGCAATTCTAAAAACAGGAATTGCATACGATGTCACAGTACCTGTTTGACAGTAGCCAATACCAAATGTTTCAGAGGCTTCTTTGCTTCCACTCACTGCTCCCTGTTCCTCCTCCTCACCTCAGCCCCTGCGGAGAGAAAGGAGGCAGCCAGATACTTGAACAACTTTGCTGCCTCACCACTGGCCCACCTCAGCAGCTTCTCACCTTCCTCCGCTCCAGACTGCAGTTGTGCAGTCATTACCAGCCTGGCCAGTGTGGGTGTTCTGCTGCACCCAGACAGCACGAGGGGGCAGGGGAGATAGGCCCCTGGTTACAGGTGCGCTAAGTGTGGGGTCAGCTTGTGCCACCCAATTGTGCCCCCACTCCTTGGGGTGGAGAAGGAAAAAACAGTGACCTGTTTCCATGCGACACACATGGCAGCTGTGCCCTGCTTTATCTGACATCCTCACGGGGGCTGTCTTCCTGCTACGCACCAGCCCTCCCACATGTGCAAGTTAACCTATCTGAAGCGCCCAACAAATAAAGGTGCATTAGAAGTTATACTATGAGACCATTTACATCCAACTTTTGACCAGCTTGTCCGTCCTGTGTTCCTTACACCACTGCTGCCTGGCCCAGGCAGCTCCACGGGAGCAGCACCCACTTAGGCCAAGTTCAGTCTAGTGGATTCTGCTGTCTGGGTGAAAGGCTGTGTTAGCAGTTGGAGGGAAGAATTGTCTGGTTTGAGCAGTAATGAGAAAAAGGAGCAAGATGATTAAAGTGAGTATCGTATTAACTCTATTCCCTGCTGCTTCCAAATGAGCATTGGCATCTGTGTGTCCTACAGGAATATGGCTGGGCAAGTGTAATGGTTTTTATCTCCTCTTGTTTAGGCGACTAAGTCAGAGACCAACAGCAGAAGAGCTGGAGCAAAGGAACATACTTCAACGTGAGTAACGACTGCTCTACAGCTCCCAAACACATAAGTATTGCTGCTTTTTTTCCCTGTTTCTCAGTTGTAGCATCAGAGGGGTGCAGGGGTAGAATGTATGTCTTCTGCAGTTTTAGAGCAGAGTTCTAGGCCCCTGTTTACTGAGCTAATGTTAATACACTGTTCTGTATCCCTTCTGTGGGGTACCAGCAAACGCTGACCTGACTGAAGCTTCTTGGACAATAGTATGAACACTCAAGCACAGTTCAAAGGCCCCTGTTCACTAATTTACACCCGAAAGATTGTGAAACACACACGATTTCTTCCCATGATATTTTTAAAGAAAAGCTGTTTTGCTTGGGTGTAAACATTCGACTGCAATATGTGCAACTCACAGATCACTGCATCATGCTACGGCATAAAACACAGCAGGTGACTATGGTCTGTCTAGCTTCGTTGCCCATGATGAATGCAATTAGAGTTAACAGTGTAAATGGTGACAAGAGACAAGACTTAAAATCAACTCTAGAAAACAAAATGTCAGCTTGGAGATGATTTTCAACAGAAATTTCCTTCTCTGTATTGCTCTTTAATCATTAGCATAACTGAAAATTCCTTCCCCCTCGCCCCCAAATATAACACCTATTATAAAATGTAACTTAGGCCCATAGGAGCCAAAGTCACTCAGTGCCTTAGAAAATTTTACCCAGAGTTCTCTGCTAGCCTGGAGAGGGCTCTGGTTAGCTACTGAACCATCCTGAGGTAAGGCCCATTCTGCTATCCTTAGTCTATGGACTGTTTGAGTAAGGATGTCTGACTCAGACCCTAGTGCTCTCAGCATGCCTGGAGTTATTGCAGACAGATGGTAGGAGATGCAGATAGTCCACGGATATGAAAAGCTGGTTTTCCGTGTTCAGCTCTTGACAGTAGTTTTCAACAAGGCACTGCTTTAAATGAAACTTTTTTTTCCCCCTTTGCCAGAAAAAAATGAGGCCGACCGGCAGGCTGAGAAGCGGGAGATTAAACGCCGCCTCACCAGAAAGGTACTGCAGTGCTCCGTTTGGTGTTTTCCGTCTCTGCTCTGTTGTGGATGGTGGCGGTAGTAAGCACCTAAGAGAACATAGAGGGGTGGGGGAGTCATGAGGCTGCTCTGTGGTTATCCTGAGTGCCCTCTGACTGTAACAAGTTGGGAATCGGTCTGGTCAGTCGAGATATTCCTACTGCACCTATCGCTGGAGTGTCGGAGTTCCACATTAAAACAGCAGCGGCCACGGTTTTCAAACTGGGTGGCCTGAAATCAAGTTCCTAAATAAATGCCTGGGAGAAACTGATGGGAGCCGCAACTGCTTGCAGCCGTTATCTTCAGTGGGATTTGTGTCCAGCAGCTCGGGAAAAACAGGCCACTTCTATTTAGGTGCTTAGATGTGGATTTAGGAACCTAACTTTAGGCAGCCAGGTTCGAGAATTGTGAACACTATTTCCAGAATGGGGTGTGAAATGGACAGACTATCCCAGATTCTAATGCTGCTGTCTCCCATATACCAACGGGATTAGCTGTTGATCCCAGATGGGTCTAGCCCACGGGGACAGGGTTAAACTCGTCCCACAGTTGTGGCTGGGAAGGAATTTTTACAGAGCATATTAATACGGAACTTAAGTACATGTTGCCATTCCCTGGAGCAGTAGGGAGGATTCATGCATTAGAATCAGGTTAGGAGTGTATCCCACACGGTCAGTTTCCTGTATCTAGGTCCCCCCTTCCATCTGTTCCTGTAGCTCTCATTTGAAATGCCATCCTGGCCCTGTGTGCTTTTTACACTCTAAACACTGCCATAGACTCACTTAACTGATGAGGCAATTATTAACTCTTCATTAAGGACCATACTGGGGTGCTTTTTTGCATCCCACATCAGTGTCTAGTGATCTCTCTTATATGCACAAAAAAGATTGAATGGTGGGGTCTTTGGCCAGAATGCACACTGGTGACAAGTACGGTCGAAGCTGACTTGTCTTCTGTTGCTTTCAGCTTAGTCAAAGGCCTACAGTGGCTGAACTGCAAGCTAGGAAGATCCTGAGGTTTCATGAATATGTGGAAGTGACAGATGCTCAGGACTATGACCGGAGAGCAGATAAGCCGTGGACAAAACTCACACCCGCTGACAAGGTAATGGGGAGAACACTCTTCCCAACCCTTGGAGCCCCATGTTGGATACCCCATGCTCAGGGATATAAGCAAAGTAAACTTGCTCTTCTTCTTTTTGCTTCAACTCTTCCATGTGGTGGGACCCTGGTCTCCCTCCCATCTCCTGAATGACTCATCCCATCTCCCTAGCCCCATCCTGTTGAGCACCCACCCGCTACCAGCACACCAAGAGTTTCCTGTTCTCTACACACAAGGCCTGTTTGGGCTCCATGCTGCTTTCTCCCAATTCCCAGCCCAACCTCCCTCTTTTTGCTCTGGCCTTTGATCTGAAGGAGTGGACAGGAGCCTATAGCAGGAGGAAGCAGGGTACAGATGCTGGGAAGACCCAGGGAAGAGTGGGGGAAGTTCTTGGCAGGCTGAGGCTGGCCTGATCAGGATCACTGCAGGAAAGTCTCAGTCCAGTTCCATGCACCATCATCCCTTAGGAACTGGGCATACCTCAGGGTATCAAGCATCTGGGGATTAGCCAGTATTTTAGGGTTAACCTGAGTCTTTGAGAGGGGTTGTTGAAGAAAAAATGGGGGAGCTGCTGAGTTTGATCTCCAGTACCTCACTTGGGTTATAGCTGTCCGCAAGCTCCCTCTTCAATAGTGAGGAAATGGAGGCTGTGGGTAGTCCTGTCCATTTCAAAACTACATGTGCCCTTCATTTTATTCCTTAAAAGTAATTGAGATGGTGCGGACCAGCCACAAGCAGATCTGTACATGCAGCACGTCCTGGGTCTATGTAAATCAGTGGTGGTGGGGGGAATAAACAGTGTGGGTGAGCTGAAAGGATTTCTTTCCCCCTCTTTGCAGGCTGCCATCCGAAAGGAACTGAATGAGTTTAAAAGCTCTGAAATGCAAGTCCATGAAGACAGCAAACACTTCACACGGTGAGTGAGACAAGACTCCAGGAGCTCATGTGCTTTGTCTTCGTACAGGCCATAGCTGCTTCTCGTCTTGCTCATAAAGCTGTGCTTTGAGCCTCTTAAGCCAAGAGCAAGTCTGAGCTTCAATATTGAGTAATGGGCTTTAATCCCATCCGGGAGAAATAACCAGATGCAGCTTTCACAGATATTTATCTTCACTTTCTCCGTTGTAGGGGAGCTTCTTGGGTGCACCTGCCTGTAAATGGTGGGCCTGGAGACTGGATAATGGGTTATAGAGCCTTTCACCTGTACATTGTGGGTTCAAATCCCGGTAACTCAATAGTGAGCAAAAGCTGATACACCACTAACCAGCTGTTAACTAGTATGTGAAACAAGTAGCCAGGTGCCCATGTTACAGAAAATACCATCACAATTCCCTCTCACTTGCTCCGCAGTCTCTACATAGAAGTGAATGGAGAATGAAAAGCTGCTCCTCACAGGCTAGAGTTGGGAGTGTGTTGGCTTGGCAGTGCAGGAGAAGTTCTTTCTCTCAGTCCCCACTGGGGTGGATTGTCATACAGGGACCTGAAGTGCCTCTAAAATTCTCACTGAGAGCCCAGTGATTACATACCATCAGTGCGGGGACACTACCAGTTTATTAAAGACCACCTGATATTTTAACATCCATAACATTTCCTTACAGTTTACCCAAATTCCAGGTGTGACACTGGTTTTACTCTTCTATTTTAGGTTCCACCGGCCATGATCCTCCAGAAGAGGGAATGAGAGAGACCAGAGGAGAGAGGATTGAAAGCGCGTGCTATTTCCATCTACTGGGCAATATAGTGGAGGAGAACCTTGGGGCTCATCTAAGCTTTGCCTTGAAAACATACCCAGAAAAGGGCTCTGAGCTGGGGCACAGGGGGATCCTATCTGAATGTAGCATTTCACTGGAACAAATGCATCTTGAGTGCCATCAGGCTGGAACTGAACACTATACCTCGCATGATACAGCAATACTCCCCAGGGCATCCAGGCATCTCGGCTCACCTTCCTGAGGACCACACCGGCATTGGAACTGAGCTCTTCCACTCCTCCCCTAGCTCCCTTTATTGCTCCCGATGAGCCCTGTTCTCCACTGTAAATAGTCCTTACAAACTGGTTGGAACTTTTTGTTTTTCCCTTTTTGGGAAGGGGGAAAAAATAATCTAAGCTCTGATGTTCCAGAGAGCTGGGAAGCATGTGTGTATATTTGCTGTGTACAAAGGAAACCTTTTTAAAAAATGCTGACCTGGCAGGAAACTGACATGTGACTATTTTTGGTTTGGCTTGCTTCTTTTTAATGTACTTAATATTCTGAATCACTACTGACCAATGATATGTTGCCCTGGAAGGGAAATTGTATAGATCTTAACAATATATGCTGCATCTTGTAAACTGAATTTTTTATTTTACAAAAACCAAACCCACGAACCTGCTCCTGTGCTAACAGACCTTGTCTTGAGACAATTAAGTCTTGTTTAATGGGAGCTACAGACACAGGAAACAACGGTTGCCTTTTAAAGTTTTGTTTTTAATTTCAGGAAGTTGTGGTATGTAATAAGTTTTCTTTGATTGTGGCTTCCTCTATTTTTTTTTTTTTTTTTTACACTCTCCCGGATCAGGGTGAAACTTGCCTTTTCCTATTCTCATAGCGAAACCTCCTGGAAATTTTGAGAATTACACTGTGGAGAGGAAGAGGTTTTAAAAAGTGACCTTAAAACCAGTCAGTCTTCTGAGAATGTTCTCTTATCAGTTCTTACTGAATGTCTTTAATGTTGACATAAGCTACAGCTGTAGCGATGTGCACGGCACTTGTCCCGTGGGGGTGAAGTGACACTTGGAATGAGGCGGGGGAGATGTTACTCAAGAATATGGGGGATTTGGGATTTTACTGGGGGGTGGAGGGTTCTGTATTGTTGGATCACTGGTGTGTTTTGTTTGTTGCTTGTTCACTCTCTTTGCTGGAGGTCACTCAGAGCTTGTGCTGACTAGCAGTCGGCATTAGTGTGCTTGAGGTCTGTGCTCATGAATCCTATGTATGTCTGCCTGCCTAGTGTGGAGGCCTTTTCATGTTCTTGGTACTACCCTTCTTCCATGATGTGCCAAGTATCTGCTGGGTCAGTCCTACGGGGTGTAATGTGGCACCCTCATCTGCTGCCTTCACACCCTAGGAGATCCAGTTAATCTTGTTTCATCTCAGTCATCATACTCTTAGAGGAAGGAGTCACTGGGGATAATTTCTTGTTTCTTCAGGTTCCCTCATAGTCCCCAAAAACAATGATTCACAAGCAAGAGGCAAAGATTGAAGTTCCCTTTATAGAAAACAATATGCAACCTGGTGCATTGCACTTCCAGATTGCTTCCCTGATGTACAAAATCTCTCTAGACTAAATGATTGCATTGTATATCTGTCTTCCCATTGACAAATTTTAATTATTAAATAAAAGTATTTTAGGACTCTTTTTGTAAACAAAACAACTTGTCTTTCATTTTGTGCCACTAACAGGAAGGTGAGAAATAATGGGGACCACTTCAAATCCCTCTTGAGAAGGAGCAATTAAGTTCTGTGCGGTTTTATTCTTTGCAGGTCTGTCAGATGAGATCATGACTAAGGTCCTGTCCACCTTAGACTGCAGATCCTCAGGATATTGTTTGTAAGGATAGGGAATGTTGTTGTCCTAGTGCCTCTGACCAAAATTTCCTCTCACCTGCATTGTACAGCAGACTGTGTACTAGCTGGCTGCTGGCCTCCACCCTCAAGAGCAATAGCATTTCTGTCATGTTGCTATATAGTAGGTTAAGGCCTTTTGAATCTTAAAGATGAAATACTGTTTTCATAGATATTACGGTAGCTTGTGAGCTGGAGTACACTTGCTTCTGTGCATTTGTATATGAATGGGCCTGGGGAGAACCGTTAGGTTAGTGAGGTCCATCTGCTCACAGGATTTAGGGACCTGTTTGAAATTCTGTGGGATGAAGTAGAGACTGATTTCTGCCAGTGCGCCCTTACTCTGAGGCCTGCTGACGTCCTGCTCTTTGGTCTCCACTGCTGACTTTGTCTCAAACCTTTAGGCCTGGTCTACGCTACCCTGTTTTACGCAGCTGGCCCTAGACCAAATGGTGCCCCAGGCGAGGAGCATCTTCGGCACCCCTTCCCCCACCCATTTGTTAAACTTCTGAATAAATTATTTTTTATTGCATTTGTAGCCCATTTCATGACTTCGGTGCACGATTTGCAGGCATGATTTTAGTCCTGTCATATAAGATGATAAATTTGCACACTAGGATCTGTAAACCTGTATTTATTCATGCCATATGTAAGCAACTAAAACTAGTTTCCTCTAAGACAGTCATCTCCAAAGTGGGATGTGCAAGTCTATCGATTGTGGGGCGCAGCAGGAGTGCCGTCAGGGGGGGGAGCCCTCAGTCCTCCAGCCTGTGGAGGAGCAGGGGCAACCGTGCAGCCAGCGGCTGGAAAGAAGCGGCACTTTCCCCTTGAAAGTCGGCCGGAGAGAAGCGGTGCTTTGAAGGGGAAAAGCGCCGCTTCTCTCCGGCCGCTGGCTGCACGGCTGCCCCTGCTCCTCCTGAGTCCTCCGGCCCGTGCTCTCAGGGCTGCATTCCGAAAGGGGCTTTAGAGCTGCAGGCCAGGGCCCCCTTAGGCCAGGGCCCTGAAGCCCCTAAAGCACCTGTGGTCCGGGTGGCCCTGCCTGCCGGGGGGGGGGCAGCTCACAGAATTGTGGCTCTCAGAATCGTGGCCATGGGGGGGGGGGGTGGTGCGCTGCGCAGAGCCACCTGCAAGCCCCCTGCACCAAACAGGAGCTGCCCCAGGTAAGTTCTTTTCACCCCCGCCTGCCCCAGCCCTGAGCTGCCTCCCGCACCCCTACCCTGAGCACCCTCCCACCCCCTAACTCCTTCCCAGACCCCGCACCCCTACCCTGAGCGCCCGCTGTATCAGTGTTAAAACAAGATTTTCAAAAATAAAGCATATTCCATCACATTGCTCTCACTAAAAACATTAATTTTTTTTTAGTGAGACCAAAAGTTTTTTGTACTGTTAATAACTAAAATTATTTTAAAATATTGTTTTTCATCTTTATCTCATCGTTTTTTAATTTCTATTTTTTTTTATAATTTACACAATATATTAGTACAGTAATACATGTATGTAATTTATACATAAATATACATACAGTAGGGGTGCGCGCTGAAAAATTTTTTCGGATAGGGGTGCGTGGTCAAAAAAAAGTTTGGAGACTACTGCTCCAAGTCAGTGGTTCTCAACCTGTCTACCATGGTGGGGCGCATCCGCATCCACTACTACCTGTATGGCCCTGAGGATGTCACGTGCGCCGCAAGCTCTGGGCTGATGGGGCCGCGGGCCACACGTTGAGAATCGCCGCTCTAAGGATCCAGAAACTTTAATTTTAAGGATAACTGAACGGTACTAACATCAAGAAGTGCATCAACACTAGGCGGACCACCCTGAGACAGCCTTGCAGGAGCTGACCGCCGTAGCATGGGAACCCTGCTTAGCCCCTTCTCTACGGGCGGGGGGCACGGCGGGCCGCGCTCTCGGCGGTTCAAGGAAAGTGTCGTTCTCCGTCCTCCAAGGCTGGAAGGTTCCGTGAGGTTCTGCAAAGGTCCGGAACGTTCTCGGTCAGTGACAAATGAATCCCCAGCTGGAATACCTGAAATATTTGACTGCGGGCTGTTTTCCCCTTTTGCCCTTACCCGAAGCAGCCCCCCAAGCCTGGCGCCAGGCTCGGTGATATTAACAAACGTGCAGATTTCACCTTGCCCAGCATCGTTTTTATTATCCAGCCCCCCCACACACACACACCCAGTAACTGCAAGGTATCTGTTTGTCAGCGAGAGTCGGCGGCCACACCCCGAGGCCCCCAAAACGTTTGTTGGCAGAACCCCTGGCTGAGGCAAAGGGTGACCCCTCCCCCTCTGTCTGGGCCTGCCTGCCACTGCCCCCCCCCCACCCGCTGCTGGTCTAGGGCGGCCCTGCAGGGGGCGCTGTCTGGGCTCCCCGCAGCCGCCGCCCTGGGAGGGGAGAAGCGGCCGCACGAAGGCCAAGCCTTTCCCCGCCCGAGATCGATAGTACGCATGCGCGTCAGGGAGCCTCCGCCCCCGGCCAGAGAGCTAGGGCGCAGCGCGCGCGCCGCAGGCGGCCGCTGACCCACGGAGCTGTTGGCGTCTCGGCCCGCCCCGAGCGACGCGACGCAAGCCCCGCCCCGCCGTTTCCGGCTCACCGCTGCAGCGCATGCGCTCTGGGCCAGCTCTTCCCGTCGTGCCCTGGGTGCTATAAATTCTCGTTGCCCCGCCTCTGTCGCTCTTTTCCCTCGGAGCGAGGTGGGAGGTAGGAGGGGGGACGGGCCTGGCTTGGCGGGGCGCGTGTGTCAGCAACAGCGATGGGTGCTTGTGGGGGGAGAAGGGGATGGTGGCCCGGGGGGGTTATGATTCCTCTCCCGCCCACGGCCCCTGGCAGGGGGTTCGTACGGCGGTTGGCGGGGATCGTGATTTCTCGCGGGCCCGCTTCGCTGATTGGGGGTGGGGGGGAACCCCCGCACGCCGGGCAGGAGCCCCGGGCCCTGCAGGGGCGGCAGGGCCGCAGCCTGGGCCCTTCCCTGGCTGGAGCCTGGGCCTCAGGCTCGGCCCATCCCCCGGCGCCTCTCGCGGGGGGAGGGGCGGCGCCGCGTGCTGCCCCCGGAGGGCCCCCCTGGGTCCGGCGTCCAACGAGGCCCCCGGAGAGAGGTTGCGCGCTCGGCTCTGCCCGTGTGGCGCACGGGAGCGCAGGCCCCTTGCCCCGCGTTGGAGAACTGGTCTGCAGCCTGCCGGTTCCTGCTGCTGCTCTGAGCCCTCGGACTGCGTCTGGGGGGATCAGCCATGCAGGAGACCGTGTATCCCTGAGACGGCTTCTTCCCGCTGGGAAGGCACGTTCTGCAGCCCTGTCAAACCCCATGGGCTCAGCTGTTCTAACAGGTTATTTGTTTGTTCTGTTCCAGCAGCTTTGCAAGCAGCGCATGCCTGTCCACAAGGTGAGGACTTACAATTTTCTCTGTACATATAGGTACCTTTCCACTTGCTGGTATTGTTTTCTTGCACACTTGGGCTGGCTCTGCATGGTAGCCCAGTTTACCCCAAATAACATTGAACCCTGGAGATGGAGAAGGCTCACCAAGGATAGCAAAGTTTAACTAAACCTGAACCACCCCTGTTAGAAAGCCTAGGTGGTGATCCTGCTTTCTCACAATAGAGGAGCACTCTGTTGTCTGGCTGCAGGATCAGGCTTTTGGGGGAGTGTGGAGTGGTACATTTGAAATCTTGTGTCAACAAGTGTTCTCAATTTAGTTAGTATTGGCCCTACTTTGAGCAGGGGATTGGACTAG